ACGCGTCTCCACACATCAACAACTGGCTGCCCTAATAAGCTCTGTACCTTATACCTAGGTGCTTAGTTTAGTACAGGTAGCTAATAACTTAAGCAGCTGCTTTAAAGTGAGCAGCTCTAGGGTTAGTTAGGTGATGTGATAGTTAAGATGCCACATATGCCACATCTGGGTGGATTATAACTGCTGTGTAAAGAATTAAACCCACCTATTCTTAATAGGCTTTAATTTCCTGTTTTAAAGCTTCTCCTTAGTGCTTAGGAAGCTTGTTAGTTAGGTATAGGATACTTAGAAGTGATCCTTTATCTAAAACTTCAAACTTTGTAGTAAGCTTCTTAATATAAGAGTTGTAAGTAAGTGATAGGGTCTAAGCAGCTTAATTCTAGATAATTCTCACCCCTAAGAACTATTCTGCTAGTCTATAAGCTTCTATCCAATATTTGGCTATTAGGGAGCTTATCAGTTCCTCTGCAGCTGCTCAATCTTCGTGGTGATGGGCGAGGAGGATATCGTCTACATAGAATAGTAGAACTATCCTTCGCTCCTGATTAAAGAAGAGACATAGCTCTTCTTTTGAGGCCTTTAAACTGAGCTCCTGAAGTGTGGTAGAAAGCTCTTTATACTATAGAACTGGTAAATCCCTAAGTCTGTATAGAGCTTGTAGTAGGAGTACAACCTAATCAGGCTTCTGGAACCCATCAGGAAGCTTACAGAGCACCTAAGGCTGGTTTCTGCGGCTCGCATTCAGAAACGCACCTGCTACGTTAAACTAAAATAGTTCTAAATTAAACTAGGCTACTATAGCAACTATAGTGCAGAAAGACTAAGCAGCAAGCGTTGTGGCGTAGGTTAACTTAATTAAATCCTTAGTTTAGAGGTCCCTACGCACGCAAATCCTTGCCTTGCTCTTAATAAAGTATCTATCTTTGTTAAACTTATATGTGAATACCCATTTAAGTGGCAGAGGCCTGCCTTAGGAGCTTGTTCTGTTGATTTCCACCTAAGTGTTCTTCTCTATTAGCATTGCTATCTCTTTCATACAGGCTTGGCGAAACAGAGCGCCTAGTGGGTGATAGGCCAGCTCTTTCTATTTGTTTGGAGGCAGAGGAAGCTAGTCTCTGTGTATCTGTTGCTTGTTTTAAGCAATTAACTTCTTATTTTTAAGAACTAAGGCAGCTATTACTGCGTGTATAGTGACAAGGTCTCTGCCTTTGTTACTATACTTGTTAGCGTGTTTAAATAGAGGTTAGAGCATCTATAAATATGCTGCTAATTAAATAGAGCTGATTACAGTGTACAGTCCTGCTCTGTTGTTGTCTCTATCTTCATCTGCGAGCTCATCGCGCTGTCGTTCACGCAACCAGCGGCTCGATCGGGTAGCCGGGCCTACGTTCCTCCAAGTGTACGCGCGTTTCGCTCTTGGCTCACCTGCTCCTGTCGGCCTCTGAGAGGGTATGAGGACGATTGGAGAGACAGGTCTAATAATTAGATTATCGCGATCCTAGTTGCCTGCTAAGGGGCTCCCTTCTTCTATAGTAGAGTGCACTTCCTGTAAGTTTTCTTCAGTCAGGTTCTCCCCTTAGGGAGCTACCTGAACTTCCTCTAGCTGCTCTAGTTCTAGTGTTAGATTGGGTGAGAGGAGACCTAAAGCTTGTTGTCCTACGCGAATCTCCATTAGCTTGCTAGCCAAGCTTGCCAATCGCGTAGCCTCTGCCTCAGGAGCTCACTCATTACTAGACTAGCCTTCTAGCAATTAAGTTTGTTCCTAAGGTTTACCCCTAAGATGTTGTTTAGTGGACAGGTTAAGCAATAGATCTTCTCCCTTACTAATAGGGAGCTTAATTGCTTCTCCTGCATTAAATATCTCGCCAGGTTTATAAAGTATTTCAACAACAGCAATTGCCTCTAGCTCTAGGATAGCTTTAGACTTATCCTTACTATAAAAGAGCTCTTTGTTAAAGGTCACATTGCGCGTTGTAATGACCTACATCGGGAAAAGTTTTTCGAAATCCGGCCCAGACTGGCCATTGCTGACAGTCGTGGCATGGTCGTGCAACGGCCGTTCAACGGCCCCAACGGCCCCAATTTGCGCCCAACAGCCCTAATTTCGCGCCAACGTTGCCAACGGCCAAAACGCTGAGTGCCTATATTCAACAAACTCGAAACAACGTTGCAACGTCGTTGCATGGCTACCCTTGGTTCTGCTAGTACTAGTATTAAATATTTAAAAATTGCGAAATTTCATGCACAGATAGAGCGAAATTGTAGCTTCAAAATGAGCGAAAAATTATTGTTGTAGGCCTACTACAACGTGAGTTATAGAGCGTTGAAGGTTTGTTTGTTGAAGGTTTGTGTTTTGAAGTTGCGACAGCACACCATGGCAGCTGCAGCTGCGCCAGCACACAACACATCAGCTGCAGCTGCAACAGCACACGACGTAGCAGCTGCAACAGCACACAACAAAGCACCTGCTAACAAGCACACACTGCAGCACAGGCAGGCCTAGGCATAGAATTCTTAGTTTACCTACTATTCTTGAATAATATTCTTGTATTTTCTAATATTCAGGCTGCTAGAGCCCTAGCAAAGAATCTTAACTTAGTGTCTTAGCAAGGAACATTAAGCTTAAAACCTTCTACGCTTAATAACTATTCTATTAATAGGCCTATAATATTGTTTAATAGCTTATTTTAAAGAGGAGACTTAGTAGTATATTAATATAATAAAAGTATAGTTTATTAAGCAGAGCTACTATTGTAGCAGGATTAGGAGTTGTTGTGGCTATTACAGCCGTTGGGACTGTTGGAGCCGTTGGCTCGAAATTGGCTGGACATTGAATGCACATTGAATGACCGTTGTAGGCCTACAAGTCCTACTGTTGCCCACAGTACAATGCCACGATTTCCCGATTTCGACAACGGAAAAACTTTTCCCGATGTAGTTAAGTTGAGGTATCTATATTTAGTATATATTAGAGGCTTTGTAGCCCACCAGGTAACCAATATGTCCCCTTGGAGTGACTTTGAAGCCTCTCCTGTTTCGTCCAGCTGCTCGCTCCCTGTTCAGAGGATAAGCGCGGCAGCTATATGCGTATATCCCGCTCCAATCGGGTCTTAGATCAGCTGTGAGTGCCCTCACCCGCTCGGGTTGATACCAGCGGAAGTATTAGGTAAACCAGTGATTGAGCTGCTCGTTTGGGCTTCGCAGCTCGTTTGAGTGCGATGGACTCATATTATAGAGCCAAGTCGCTGCCATTACTACCTCTGGCCAGAGCTTCTCAGGTAGGTGTGCTCCGCTCCTCATCTTGATAGACTTAGTGATTATTTCTTAACCAGCTCGTTCAGCAGCTCCATTCGGCTCGTGGGTGTATGGAGGAATCTGTTCTATATCAATGCCTGTTTCAAGCGCCCAGCGTTGATATGCCGAGCTCCCTCTCCATGGCAGTGTGGCAGTGTTGTTATCTTGACTAATCTTGCAGATTTAGAGCTTATACTGTGTAGTTACCTAGCTTAAGAAGTTTGTGAGGACGCGCAGAATCTTAACTAGAGACTTTCCTTGCAATGTGTACGCAAAGAGCTTCCCACTATAGTACTCCTTAATTAAAAGTATCCACAATTCACTGCCTCTGCCAAGGGGCATATTAAATAGATCCTATCTAATTCTCCAGAACGGTCGAGCAGGCTTCTCACGAGGCCTGCGTGATACTACTTGTTTGGCGTGAGTCGTAGAGCAGACCTCACAGTCTTTTTGGAGCGTCCCACTTATCCGCACGCCGCGCGCTCGTTGAACCAGAGCTCGTAGAGCTTTTGGACCCAGGTGGCCAGCTCGAGCGTGCCAGAGCTGTTCAGACGAGCTGCGTGGGTAGGTGTTATATGATCAATTTGAGGTTACCGCGTTCAGTAGGCTTAGAGGATAGTAGAATGGCTTGTATTCAAAGAAAGTGAGGTTGTAAGCGCGCGTGAGGTTGGCACACACAACACTCTAATTCAAAGCCTTAATATATCCTACACAGAGCGTGCTGTTAAGACCTAGGTACTATACTCCTTTGTCCTGCAATTAAGCTTCTAAGATAATATTAACATAGAAACCTTTAACTACAACTACATCGCGAAGGAGCAGGTCCTCTGTATTTAGGCTGCGCTTTCTATAGAGGGCGTTTTTAAACAAACGATCACCTCGTCCTATAATAGGGAACGCCTAGGTGCCTGCCTCTACAGAGTCAGTGGACGTTAATAGGCGGAAGGTACTAGGGACAAGCTAATTAGCGCTGTTCACTAGGTGCGTAGCAGCTCCATTGTCAAGAATCGTACTCTCTAATAGAGGATGGGCGTCAAAGTCTATAAGGTTATACACCCTAGGTTGCTCATCCTCTAAGAGGTTTATTATCTTTAGGTTAATTAGAGCTGCCTGTATATTTCCTAGGAACTTAGCTTTAGGCGTTTAGTTAGTTAATTTAGCAGCTAGGGCGTTAGTAATTGTCTTTAGAGTGTTTAAGTACTAGCCTAGCTGCTTAATTGTCCTCTTAATATCCTTATAATAGTTAGTTCTAAGCCTCTAAAGTATCTGCTAACAGCGCTCATCTGTTAGAGTGTAAGGAGGGGTAGATAAGCCTCTGACTACTGTCTAGAGAGCTTAATAGTTAGTTAGTTTCTACTTATAGGTGCGAGTTTTGTCCTTATTACAGGGGCACTTGTATCTCTCTATATTTTTAGAGCTGTTAGAGTTACCCTAAGGAGCGCTTTAAGCATTAGAGCAGTTGCTAAACATTAGAAATACTCCTAGGTTATCCTTCCCTATTCTTATAGTATGCTTATGCATTAGTCTACTAAAGACCCTACTTACTTAGTCTAAAGTAAGCGTTTCAAGCCCTAGGATAGTGTCCTAGATAATCCTTTAGTGCATAGTACGAGCCTACTCTGGGGCGATTTAGTAGCTTAAGGCATCTAAGAAATCTTGAACAGCAAGCTCCCTATTAACCTCTGCAAGATTGTAGGCCTTAGCACTTATATAGAGGTATGACCACTTCTGGTACTAGTTATGAGGAGTGGCTTGTCCTTGTTTAGCCGCTCCAAGATAAGCTTAATATTCTGCTCTAATCTAATTCTTGGTACTAAGGGAGGTAGGAGCAAGCTCCTGCTTCAGGGCTTGGATGAGCGATTGTAGGGTGGTACTGTTGCTTGAAACGAGCCGTACCATCACTGGTGAGATGATTGCTGGGGCCACTGTAGCGTTGACCCAGTTCCAGAGCTTCTGAAGGCGCTCCGCCTTTGCTGCCTATTCGCTCGACCTGACCTTATACTTGGCGAGCTCCTGTGTATATGCCTCGGGGCTCGTAGAGGCAGGCGTGCCTTGTAGGGTTCGAGGGTCGATTGGTTGGGTGGACTGACTACGGGTTGAGTGAGCCGGGGGTCTATTTTCGTAAGTAGAGCTGAAGGCCTGCTGTTCAGCAGCTCCAAACTCCACCCCCGAGCTCATGAGAGGTAGCTCAGGAGCTCCTTCGTGCATTCCTGGAGCGTCCGGAGCGTCTGGGTTGACTAGCTCCCACACATCTCTCAGTTTGGCGTGCCAGGTAAACTGGATGTACTAGTTGGGCCAGTCCATTCTTGTTTTAAGTTGGAAGGTACCTATAGAGATAGCTAATTAAGCGTGTGAGCTATAATTAACTAGCTCGCCCATAATAGCGTTGATGGTGTGTTCTGAATTTAGGTTTAATTAGAGCAGCTAAGCTTTGTCTAACAAGCTTGATTAGCTAAGTGCGCAGGGAGATCTACTGTTCTTAGGAAGCCAGGCTTATAACTATCACAGAGCCTGTAGGACTATACTTAGGTAATTAAAAGTATTTAATTAGTGGCTATCTATCCTATTACAAAAGTAAGGTTTATATACATAGGAAATATGTGTAGATCACATAATCTAAGATAAGCGAGCAGTTGGCTAATTATCTAGTAGCTTGTCAACAAAGAACGGATGAAACGAGCTTCTGGTTTAGACCCAGAGGTGCTCGTCCTGGTTTATCTGGGCCGGCAAGCTCCACACCCTCAATTGAGGTGCTCGATTGTGTGACATTACTTTACCTAGCTACTATCTTCTTTCTATCTAGGTTATTTTCTATAAGGTTAAAGTAGCGTAGTTATTAGCTAGTTTACTAGTACTACTTACTCTATAGTTAACTTATCTTTACTATAAATAAGAAAGAACTACTAGCTTTACTTAGCTTAGTAGTAGTGCTACTATAGTAGTAGAGAAAATAGTAAAGTATAGTACTAGAACTAGCGTTTTCTATTTATACTTATAGTAACTTCTACTTTTAGTATAACTACTTTTACTAGCTATAGATTTTCTTAGTATAAAGTAAAGAATACTAAACTTATCTATATTTATTTTCTTTATTTATATTCTATAAAAGTAGTATCCTTCTTTTTATTAAGTATAGAAAAAGTAAAAGTACTTTTCTTAAGCTACTCTCTATTTATACTACTAGCTATAGCTATTGCTAGTACTTTTACTAGCAAGAGCTCTATACTATTACTATAGAAACTAAGAAAAGGTATTGCTAGCTAGCTATCTATCTAGTATAGATAGCTTTTTTCTAGTAAAAGTAATCTCTTTTCTCTATATTGCATTCACTAAGGCATCTCTTTGCAAAATCAAGAACATTTCTTCGTTCTCCTTGACAGATTGTGAATTTGGGCCTAATACAACTGCCGATGCGGGGTATGCATAGGAGCAAGGGAGATGGACCAAAAATCAAGAACTTTGTTTGCTATCTCGTGAAGATGTCTTCGTTGCGTGATTTTTCCAACTGCCGATGCAGGGCATGTGTGGAAGCAAGGGATATGGACCGAAAATCAAGAACCTTGTTTGCTATCTTGTGAAGATGTCTTTGTTGCGCGATTTTTCTAACTGCCGATGCATGGTATGCGTGGGAGCAAGAGAGATCAGCAGGAAACCAAGAACTTGTACTGCTTTCTCTTTACAGAACGTAGATAGCCACTGTTTTCTATAAGTAGAGGCAAATTTCTCTTTTTTCTCTTCCTCTACTCTACGCTTTAATTGTCTACTAGTAAGATAGCTACTTTTCTACTCTTTTACTATGCCTACTACTAGAAGTAACTCTTGTGCTTCTACTTCTTCTACTTCTTCTCCTACTTCTTCTTCTACCTCTTCTTCTTCTATCTCTAAGTCTACAGCTAAGAGAGGAAGACCTAGCTTTAGTACTAAGCTAGCTAGGTTAGAAAAGAAGACTAAAGCTTTAGAGCTAGAGATTTCTCTTCTAAAGAAGCTAGTAGATCTTCTCTCTACCTCCTCTACTTCTTCTAAGAAGGAAGAAAACAATAAAGTAGAACGTAAGTAAATATTCTTTTTTTTCTTTCTCTTCTATTTTATTTCTTTTCTTTTCTTTTTTTCTCTTTTATTCTCTATCTTTTTTTATCTCTTTTTTCTATCTTATTCTCTATCTTTTCTTCTTTCTTTTTCCTTCTTTTACTCTCTATCTTTTCTTATCTTTTTTTTCTCTCTTATTCACTATCTTTTCTTATTCTTTCCTTTCTTTTATTCTCTATCTTTTCTTATCTTTTTTTTCTCTCTTATTCTCTATCTTTCCTTATCTCTTTTTCTTTTTTATTCTCTAACCTAAACTATCACCGAGTGTCCCACATCACCGAGTGTCCCAAAATCTCTTGGCAGCCTCAACCTATGCTACAACTCCTTAATTTTATTGCTATTAAAAAGGGAGCCTGCGTATGTTGTACTAGTATCTAATTCTAAGGACACCTCTATATCCTTTTTGCACATTTGCGCATTATGCCTAGTCCTACTGCAGTTCCTACAGCGCTGAAGAGCTGGTTGGGCTAGTTCTTAACCACTACCACCACAAGCCTTCTTGGATCGCTGAGGCGCTATAGATGCCTTAGCAGCTACCTGCGCTGCAGCAGTCCTATACTCCATAGTACCACCCTGCTGAATCCGCTTGCGCTTACGCGATTTTCGCTTGGTTATCTCTGCTAATTGCTCTTCAAGCTTATGGATCTGAGCACGTTGAAGCGCATTTTTATGCAGCATTAGCTTACTACCTTTTATAAGCTGGGAGAAACCAGCCTAAGCTGTAACAGGCGAGCAAGTAAAGGAATCGCGTACAAGCTTTGATTGAGATCTAAACTCATAGGTATTGCTTAGAGTCTTTGACTGCTATGGCGTCTCTAGGAGGAGGGGTTCTAGCAGGGTACGCAGCCGCACTTTAAGGCGATCTAATACAACCTGCGCGTTGATTAGGTTGGTTGGTTGGTTGGTATTCATTTTACGTCTAGATAATAGGGATAAAGTCCACTATCTCGCCTCCCGAAGGGCATATACGACGTGCTGAGCTATAGGATTACAGTGCTAACACACTACCTTAGAAAGCATTTCTTGCCTGCGCAGGTATTGCTACTGTTTTAAGCTACAGCTCCCCTGCTAGTTAGGGAGACTAAGTAGTGTAGATACATTAGGGTGAATCCCTTTTGTGTGTTTAAAGGCAGTAGAATGCCGTGAGAGTAGAAGAGAGAGGTAGAGTAAGAAGGAGAGTGAGGAAAGAGTATGGTTGTTTGCTGTTGTCGCAGCACAGGGTGAGCTACTAGGGGCAGACCTTAGTGTAGTATTAAGTGAGTTAGGTGAAGGCTTTAAAGGCCTCTGGATCCCTAATAAGCACACTAGTATATGCTACACCTTCGCTACAGCTAGATGGTGGTATAGGTGGTTAGAGTGGCTATTGGCTGAAGGACCCTTAGGTCTTGCAGTAGAGTATAAGGTGCTCTAGTGTCTTGTTGCGCCTGTATAAGCAGGTAAGTGTTGCGTTGTTGTGTTTATACTTTTAGTAGTACTAGGCAAAGTTGCTGTGCATAGATTAGATTAAGAGTAGTCTAGCTAGGGTGGCTCTTAGTAGGTCTAGTTTAGGTAGTCTACTGTGTAGTGCATAGTTAAGATTCTAGCTCTTGTACTATTTTAAGAGCTTAGTCTTCTTATTAGACTACTATGTTTGTTGCGTGTGCTGTAGCATCTTGCGGGCTATTGTCTTGATGCCTGAGAGTGTGGGCATAGCCACTATTCCAGTCGGGGGTGATGGGTGCTGGGCTTCTAGGTTGGCAAGTCTGTCTGCTGCTTCGTTTCCTTTAATGCCTAGGTGCCCAGGGGCCTATTTGATTGAGACGTCGTGTGTCTCCATGGCACTGTGGCACTCTAGGAAGGCCTACTGTGAGGTAGGGGGTGCGTCGCCCCTGAGGCACCATATAACTGAGGTGCTGTCTATGCATAGCCAGATTCGGCGCGTGCGGAGCGCTGGTTGTCTGATAGTGTGCTAGAGGCCTTTCCACGCTCTAGTTGCCTTAGCGTCAAAGACGTGCGAGGTAGAGTGGAGTAAACTACGTCTAGTCTGTAGTTGCTTTCTATTCTAATACATAGCAAAGCTATAGGTAACCTGCTTTTCTCCTTCCTTTGTGTACTATTTAGAGCTATCTAAGAAGATAGTAATATCTAAAGGTAGAAGGTTAGCCTACTATTCTTAGAAAGCCTTTGCTGTAGACTTTTTATCTAAGCCTATAGTAGGGTCTGTGCAGTAGCTAGGTAAGTAGTAAGGGGCTAATAGTGTTGTCCTAGGTATCTTAGGCAGAAGAGATCCTAGATACTAGACCTTGGTCCGCATTCGCTGCAGCTTTCCAGCTAACCTGCCTATACTCATCCTTATAGCTACTGTGCAGCTGGCAAGTAGATGTTCTGTATCTACTGTGCGTAGATGTGTTGCAAAGCAGAGTTTAGCTTCTTCCAGTGCAGTAGCAGCAGAGGGTAGTCCAGCGTCTCAGAAGAGAGTAGCAATAGGGGTTGTTCGCCACACCAGGAGGATCCCTCTTGCTGCTATAGCCAGTGTTTTGTCCATAACCGCTATGTGCCACCCAACATAGGCACTGACTTCTGCTAGTCTTCCAGGTTTAAGTGTACGTGGAGGTTTAGTACAGCCTCTGTACCAGCACTCAGCCCTATACAGAAGAGACAGGTATACGCAGGCGAGGGTAGCCTTGCGAAGGGAGCTAGCTGGTGGTCTGTAGGCTGTGTTTGCTAGGCTGCGGATATGGTAGGCTACCTTAGCCACTTTTGCATTGTGCGTGGCTACATGCCGCTTAAAGGTAAGTTTGCAGTTAAACTAGATCCCTAGCTATTAGAGGGCTGGCTAGGTTCTTAACGTATTTAGCAAGATTAGATTAATTATGTGATGCTTGTCTATCACATAGGGGGGTGCGTAGCTGCTCTTCTGTTAAGTAAGGTAGATTATTTCTTGTTTTTCTAGGGCAAAGGTGACCTTGTTAGCTGTGCCCTATGCTCTAATCTATTGTAGGTCTGCTGCTAGGAGCTTAACGTTCTTATCTAGGGAGTGTAAGGCTTAGTATAAGCATATATTATCTGCGTATCCAAATCTCTTCTTTATGTCCATAGACAGCAGCTCTGCCAGATACAGTGTGTACAGGATTAGGGAGAGGGGTGAGCCCTGCGGCGTGCCGCAGGCGACTAGGCAGCTAGGGGTGGTGGCTTGGCCTAGGCGTACTTAGACCCTTTAATTAGTAAGGAAAGAGTTAACAAAGAGGATAGTCCTTTGTAGCTAGCCCTGTTAGGCTATCTAGTGCAGAAGGCGGTTCTTAAGGAGAGCGTTAAAGGCGCCTTGCACATCTAATATTACTATTGTGACGTGCTAGTCTTTAGCCCACGCAGCTTCTGTGTTATAAGTAAATGCTGCAGTAAGATCTACAGTAGAGCGCTTTAGGAGGGCGCCTCTATATTAGGGGCTAAGGATCTTGTAGGTTATAGCAGTCTACGCTATTCTTCTGGCCACTGTCCTTTCAAGTCCTTTTCTAATGCAGGAGAGGAGTGCTATAGGTCTCTAGGATTAGGGTGACGTCTAGTCTTTCTTTCCTGCCTTAGGTATTATAGCTACCTCTGCAAGCTTCTACTAGCCTAGGAAGTGGTTTAGTTAAAGGCATTGCTGAAAGATCTGTTGTATAAGTTCCCTAACCTGGGCCTAGCAGGCGCGGAGCAGTCGCACTGTAGAGTGGTCAGTTCCTGGCGATGTGCTGGAGACCCCTATTGTATTTCGCTCAGCTTCCTCTAGTGAGATGTGTGTGCTCCAAGGGAGAGACGCTCTTGCTTCCTGCTCTGGTTGGTGGCTGAGGTCGTCTTCTACTGTGTAGCGGTTAAGGATTTCCTCTCAGAGTGCCTCTGCCTCTCTAGGGGGTTAGATATTGTTTTGCTGTCTATTATAAGAGGGGTGTCCTAGTAGTTTAGTGTAAGCTTGTGCTAGGCAATTACCTTAAATAGATCCTTGCTATCCTTAGCTTTATTAATAATATGTCTCTAGTATTGCCTTTTAGCCTGTTAGACTGTTGTCTTAAAGGCTTGTGTTTCCTCTAGTAGGGCACTGCTGCAGCAGTGTTGTCTGGCGTGTTTGTAGGCTTGGTAGGCTGTCTTGCACTCCTTGGTCCACCACAGTGCGGCGCGTCCTTGCTTGCAATCTAGCTTGCCTGCTGTCTGTATAGAGTGCTGGAATGCCTCTGTTAGCAGCACAACACATCTGTCAAGCTATGCTGCGTTGTAAGCCCTAAGCAGGTCTAGGATATTCTGGACGCCTATCTTAACAAGCCCTGTGAACTTAGGTAGGCCTGCTTCTGCAACTTAGTAGTGGTGCTGATCTAGGTGCTGCATGTCCCTTGTAGAGGTAGGGACATAGGTTACTATTGTCTCGTGGTCTGATCCGCTGTGCATGCTCGCATCTACTCAGGACTGTGCGAATGGGACATTGGAGAAGGTGAGGTCAATAACCTAGCCAGCTTGGTGTGTTAGCTGTCCTAGGATGCCAATGTAGTCCATAGAGGCAGCAGCAGCCCATCTAGCTAGCTCGGCACCCCCGTTGGCTGCGCTGGCGGTAGGATTGAAGGACTCATGCTTAGCGTTGAAGTCACCCCCTATGAGGCATTGTTGAGGAGGTGCGAGATGCGTAACGTATTGGATTACGCTAGGGGTGTATGGCTGTCTATAACAGTTAAGGATTAAGACACTATTTACAACAGCCTACAGTAGATCTAGGTGATTAAGGCTTTCTCTAGCCTAGAGTTTTAGGTAGTGCCCTTTGCGTATATAGGTTATCACCCTAGGGCAGACTAAGCCTAGTGTGTTAGGGGCATCCTAGGTGCTAATAGGTGTAAGGTGTCTGTAGCCTAGGTAGGTAGAGGTTCTTGAGTTAGCACAGGTGAAGGGTTCTTGGACGCATACTACGTCCATGTCCTTCTAAAAGGCCACTTCTAGTATAGTAATATGGCAGGGGGAGCTTCTGCTAACGTTGGCCCAGCATACGCAGAGTTAGTTTCTCTGCTTGCTAGGCTTTTGTTGCCTGTTGTGGGCGGAGGTAGTGTGTTAGTGTCCTAGCATGTAGATAGTAGATCCTCGCTTATGCTGGTGTCCTCCCTCTCTAAGGTAGAGGTGTTAGTGTAGATAGTTGTTTGTGGGCGCATACTGTTAGCAGACATGTCCCTTATATTTAGGTTTGCACAGCCTGCAGCAGCCTGTCTTAGTCTCTTTTCCCTGCTAGTGGGTAAGGATGCTTAAGAGGCGCTGCTTATTTCAGTTATAGCTACCCTACTCTCTTCCTCTAGTGCTTGCCTTTAGAGAGGAGAGTAGGGAGCTAGGATCTCTTAGGTGTCCTCTAGGGTGGTATCCTTGTGCTGCAATGTTGCTTAGTTAAGGGTTTCTTCTACAGTCCTGTAGAGATGCTAGTATGTTGCTCTACCTGCGCGGTAGATAGAGTTTAGTTCAGTCTTAGTAGGCTTAATTATGTGTCTATGCGCCTGGCAAGGGGCTGCAGGACAGTTAGAGTGACTAGCTAGGTGAGGGCTATGGCAGTTAGCACACTTAGCTTTATGAGGGCAGCTGTCCCTATAGAGCCCTTGGTGTCTATCTGTGCGGTCCCCACAGTGTCCACAGCAGGCTACTCTAGTGCAGCAGGCGGCGTTGCAGTATTGTTGGCAGCCTAGATTGTGTCGCTGTATAGCAGGGTGTTTGTGGATTTCTTTAGAGAACTAGCTAGTGCCAAAGAGCTGGAATGAGCGGACTGGCTCCTTGTATGATATAATCTATGTAGTTAGGCCATTCTAGTTGGCCCCGTGTCGTGAGGTTCTGCAGCTAACTGGCTGCTTGCCTGTTTGTGAGCAGACTTCCTCCTCTACTAGCTAGATAGTAGTAGGTAGTTCAGTGCTATCTAGAGTCTAGAAAGAGCTAGGAACTCCTTGTACAGCGTAGTTAATCTAGTGTTCTAGGGTCCTAATTGCATCCCTACCTAGTGCTTTTACTATAAGCTCCTAGTTTTCTTAGGTTAGGAGTTAATCCCTAATTATTTTGCTTACAGGCGTAATTGCCCAGCCTGTGTTAATTAGCAATGCAGTAGGGATATCTTAAAGGGTAATTCCTTTAATGCTTCTATAGACTGCCTGTCTTACTACAAAGGGGGAGGGTTGTTATAATTGCACTGCTAGGTTAGAGATTGTGACAAAGATTTAATTGTCTTCCTTTAGCTTAGGGGGCGGGCTAGGCCGGGGCCTAGCAGGGTTCAGGGGCCTGCCGTTGCCCCTATTCTTTGGCGCTGTGTTTTGGGGGTCTCTGGCTACGTCCGCCCAGGAGCGGCGGCCTGATTCTTGGCTCCTAGGGTTGCTTTGATTGGTGTCGCTGCTCCAGCGGGAGCTGGGGGGGGAGTTGCTTCAGGAGAGGGAGGTTAGAGCCTCAACAACTCTCTGCTGCAGCTCTGCAGCAATCCTAGCTTCTTGGGGGTTAGAGTAGCCTTCTGCGTGTTGGTCTACAGCTGCTGCAAAGGCAGTAGTGATAGTGTTCCATAGCTGGGTGATCTGCTGAGTCTCAGTGATGTGGCGTTGGACGGCATCAGAGACTCGAGGTTTGGGAGCGCCCCCACTGGGGAAATGGCTGCTTAGAGGGGGAGCCTGATGATTCAGGACCCTCTGGAGCTGTTCTGTGGCGCGGTTGTTAAGGTGTTGAGGAGACTCAGGGTCTGGGGACCCTGTGTGCTGGGAGGTAGGAGAGGCATGGGAAGCAGAAAACTCTGCCATCCTCGCAACGCGCCCCTTTGCGCGTCGCGCGAAGGGCGAGAGGGAGGTTAGACGTGTCCTCAGAGTCGCTGCAGTAGGCCTAGTTAGTTTGCCACGATTTTTGGGGCCTCTAGAAAGGGGACCCAAAAATCAGAAAGTTGGTGTGGGGTTGCGCGTTGATTGGGACTAGCCCTGCTGCCTTAAAAGCCTTTTGACAGTTCTGCTCTGTAAACACGTTAAAAAACGCGTCCTTAAAGGCAGGGAGGAAGCCTTCTTTGTTAATATGGAAGACGCGTCAGCGTGCTAAGTCTCTAACGCGCTGGGAGTACCTGCGCTTCAGCAGCAAGAAGCAGACCACATCAAGCAGCTGGAGGATGTGCGATAAATAGGGGGGGCATACAGAGGGTTAGGATCTTGTGTTCAAGGCAGTAGTCCTTAAAATGCTAGTTAAGGTAGCTCTTATAGCCGTCTAAAATAAGCAGCTAGTACCCCCCCACCTGGCGCGTCTTTGTATGCGTGTTAAAGTGCTTTAACCACTCCAGACTAAGCGCGTTGTTTGTCTAGCTGTTCTTAGAGACTAAGAGCTTCCAATTACGCGGTATTAAAGCCTCCTTGTACCAGGCAGAGATGTGGACGCGTCCCTTGTAGATAATGAAGGGCGGGGTCGCGTACCTAGCAGCGCAGATGCTCTGGATAACTGTAACCCACTTGCGATTGCCTGGCTAAACAAGCGCAGGTTGGGCGCGTCTCTCTGCACCTGTAACAACCTTTATAGAGCTAATTACGCCTATCTAGAAGCTAGTCTTATTAAAGTTGTACACGTTGTTATTGTAGACGCTATACTTAGCTTTAGTCTCCTCTACTAGCTTAAACCACGCGCTAATTATCTCTAGATCCTCCTAGAGTATTCTCTGCCTATCCTTTACTTAATTAAAGGCCATTTTGAGCTCAGGCGAGCGCGTTACAAAGCGATCAGCCTAGCACTTGCCAATAGGCTTGCCACCGCGTACAGCCAGCAGTTTATCAGCCATATCTGCCACCTCGCACAGCTGGGGCGCAAATCCTCGCAAGTTAAGGTTGAGTATGTATTAGATGATCGTCTGCTGTTCAGTCGCAGTAAGCTTCTAGCAGTTAGGGGCAGCTTCTGCGCAAAATGTGAGTCCTTGGACGCAACAAGAGAGTGTACAGCAATCAACGTTAAATGCCTCTGCAGCAGCCTGGTGGCTTCAGAATTGTCTAGATTTCAAGGCTTCAATAGCAAGCTAAAGCCTCCCTTCATGTTCAAGTAATAACGCGTTTAGTAGTTGAGGCATGTTAGAGAGAGAGAGTAGGTAGAGGGCTTGGCAAGTTTTGGGACACTCGGTGATGTGGGACACTCGGTGATAGTTTAGGTTATCTTTTCTTTTCTTTTTTTTCTTCTTATCTTATATGTTTTCCTCTCTTTTCTATTCTATTTCTTTTCTATTCTATTTTTTTTTTTTTTTTCTTAAAGAATTTTATCTTTTCTAGGCTCTACTAAGTACTATCTTACTATTTTACTATTCTACTAGCTTATACTAACCTTCTACTAGCTACTTCCTCTTTCCGTACCTTTCTAGAAGGGGGTAAGTATAAGATTTTTTATATATATATATGTAACGTATTCCACCACCCAACAGCTCAAACCACCTAACAGCTTAAAATGTCTTAGCACAACAAACACCCTCTTTGTTGCAACATGCCTTAACCACATAACATGTTACTATGTGAACATAAAGGTAGAGTTAACCTTGCCCTTAAAGCTCTTTATTTAAAATAATTTAAAAGCTAGAGAGCAGCTACGCGCGCTTTTAATGTTAAACAACACATTCTCTCTACACATGTTAGAGGAGCCCTATTTATCCTTAAATAAGCACCTAATAGCTGCAAACTTACGCTTATAGAAGAGCAAACAATTGTCTAATATATCCTTAACCTAGATTCGCAAGGATTCGCGCCCTAGCTGTGCAAGGTAGCAGATATGGCTGATAAAGTGTTGGGTGTACGCGGTAGGCAGCTAGTTGGCAAGCACTAGGCTGAGCGCTTTGTAACGCGCTTAGCTGAGCTTAAGATGGCCTTTAATTAAGCTAAAGATAGGCAGAGGATACTGCAGGAGGATCTAGAGACAATTAGCGTGTGGTTTAAGCTGGTAGAGGACACTAGAGCTAAGTACAGCGTACACAACTACAACGTGCACAACTTTAACAAGACTAGCTTCTAGATAGGTGTTATTAGCTTAATAAAGGTTGTCACAGGCGCAGAGAGGCGTACTTAGCCTAAGCTTGTTCAGCCAGGTGATCACGAGTAGGTAACAGTTATCTAGAGCGTCTGCGCTGCTAGATCTTGTACCCTACCTTTTATTATCTACAAAGGACGCGTTCATATCTCTGCCTAGTACAAGGAGGCAGATATACTGCGCAATTAGAAGCTCTTAGTCTCTTAGAACAGCTAGATAAACAATGCGCTTAGTCTAGAGTAGTTGAAGCACTTTAACGCGCATACAAAGGCGGGCTAGGTAGGGGCGTACAGGCTGCTTATTTTAGACAGCTATAAGAGCTACCTTAACTAGGATTTTAAGGACTACTGCCTTAAATATAAGATTATTACCCTCTATATACTACCTTACTTATTGCATATCCTCTAGCTGCTTAATGTAGTCTACTTCTTACTATTAAAGCGCAAGTACTCTTAGTCCGTACAAGACTTAGCACGCAAGCACATCTTCTATATTAATAAAGAAGGCTTCCTACTAGCCTTTAAAGATGTGTTTTATAATATATTTATAGAGGTAATCTGTTATAAGGCCTTTAAGGTATTAGGACTTATCCCTCTTAACACGTAGGTTGTTTTAGATTGCCTTAAAGTGTAGCTGCATACCCTGCTAGAACCCCTCCCCCTAGAGACGCTGTAGCAGTTAAAGACTCTAAGCAATACATATAAGTTTAGATTGTAATTAAAGCTTGTACGCAAGTCCTTTACTTGTTCTCCTATTACTGCGCAGGTAGGCTTCTCTCAGCTTATTAGAGGCAGCGAGCTTATGCTGCATCAGAACGCGCTTTAAGCAGCCTGGATTACTAAGCTTGAAGAGCAATTAGTAGTGATGACTAAAAGGAAATCGCGCAAAAGGAAGCGGATCTAGCATGGCGGCACAATGGAGTATAGTGAGGCAGCAGCCCAGGTGGCCGCAGAGGCCTCTATAGCCGCTGAGCGGTCAAAGAAGGCTTGTCGTGGTGGTGATCAAGAGAGAGC